ACTCAGGTTAAACATGATATATGAGTCACTTAGATAACTTAAACATGTTATTGTTTGGCTTTTTTTTAGTATTTTATTTGTTCCTGAGTAAATCGGCTGAGTTTATTAAACTCCACCAAAACAACCTGCAAACTTCATTAAAATTTAATAAACTATCATCTTGTCTTTATTTTTAGTTAGCACATACCTGAAACACTTAAAGCTGTAAGCTAATGATAGTTATATAAGAGCAGATGCTGCTGGTGCAATAAGCTGTTGTTTTATGTCCAATGGATGATGATCTGATTAGTTGACTAATCGCAAAAATAATCGGTGACTAGTCGACTATCAAAATAATCGTTTGTGGCAGCCCTACTCTGGAGAACTTCAAGACATGTTGAGGAGGTCATTTAGCCATTTAAATCAGCTGTGTTGGATCAAGGACACAAAACCTGCCGGCCATCGAGGCCTGGAGATCCCCAACCTGCGTAGACGGTAAAACAGGTTGTAGACTCGATGCTAATCAAATTTCTTTTCCACTCTCATTTTCAGAGCAGTCAAAACAGTTTTCAAAAGTACTTTAAAAATTAAATTTACCTTAAAAATGGGAACTGTTAAGATGTGCCTTAATTTGGCTGATTCACCAAACATAACACATCAAGAAGCAAAGTTTCATTTATATCACTGCAAACATCACAATTCAGTGGCAATACACACACACACAAGCAGACATCCTCTTCCCTCCATGTAATTCACCTTTGTAAGACATGAGAGGGGCGAAGGGGTCGGTCAACTCTATCGATTGGCTATCCTGAGCAGTGACAGCTCCCAGATTGGCCGGAGAGCATTAGGGAGTCAGAAAGTCACACTGCCATTAGCAGTCTGTCCTCTCCAGTTACAACCAGCCAGCACACGGACACTCCATGGACTAAAAGAGATCAGAATGACTGGTGTGTGTGCCCTGTAACAAATATATTCAAGCCAAAAACACTGGGAACCCTTCTCAGTTTTCTTATTTCATTACTTCTGAGAACGTCTCTGCCTGGTGTCTGTAAGAAGACGTCCCTAGAATAGAAAACCGTATACACACATCTCTACTTACACTGTTCAAATGCATTCAGCGTAACTCAGAACACAGTATAAATAAGACTAAACCAGAAATGCATCAATCGATTAGTTGGTTGCCACAAATATGATGGATGAGCAGCTGATCGGCCTCAGAGATATATCTCTCCAAAATTGTAACAAATACCAAACAGCTTGTCTAGCATAACACATGCGCTAAAGTGAAATATACTGTCCATCCCTTCTCTTCTGCTTGTCTTTGTCAAGGTCGTGGGGCCGCTGGAGACTATCCCAGCTACCACAGGGTGAGAGGCGGGGTACGCCCTGGACAGGTCCCCAGTTTGTCACGGGGCTAACACACAGACAGACAACCATTCGCACTCACATTCACACCTATGGGTCATTTAGATTCATCAGTTAACCTAACGCAGTGAACTGCATGTCTTTGGACTGCGGGAGGAAGCCAGAGTACCCGGAGAGAACCCACGCAAACATGGGTGGTGCATGGGTACCACTCGGGTGGTCTCAGAATTTCGTGTCTGGCATTCACAGATGATGTGGTTCTGTCAGCTTCATCAGGCGGTGGCCTCTAGCTCACATTGGAGCAGTGCGAGTCTGAGAGTGAAGCAGCGGGAATGAAAATTGGCACCTCCAAGCCTGAGGCCATGGTCCTCAGCCGAAAAAGGGTGGCGTGCCCAGCCAGGATTGGGGGACGAGTTGCCACCCCAAGTGGAGGAATATCTCAGGGGCTTGTTGACTGAGGGGAGAGGGGAGCGTGACATCGACAGACGGATTGGTGCTGCAGCTGTAGTGATGCAGACGCTGTACTGGTGAAACGAGCTGAGTGTAAAAGCGAAGCTCTCAATTTAACGGCCAACCCATGTCCCTACGGTCATCTGTGGTCACGAGCTCTGGGTAGTGACTGAAAGGAGAACATCCATTAGATGTTCTGGGAATCCCTCACTGTGGGAGGCCCCAGGGCAGACCCAGGACATGCTGGAGAGATTATAACTCTGAGCTCTCCTGGGAGAGGGAGGTCTGGGCTTCTCTGCCTTGGCCGCTGCCCCCCCAGCAGCCTAATGCTAAAGATGCCCCAGATGGATGGAAATGTATTGCAAATCATTTTCAGCGTGATTTTATTTGTTTTGAAAAGCTTTGTCCACTAACTAGAAGCATTTTATTTTATAAAATATCGAGTTTTATGATGAGCACATATTTATGACTTACAGCTCTAAAAGACAGAAAACTGGTAGGTCAGACTCTAGATCCAGTCCTTCACAGCAAAAAGAGCCAAAGCAGTACACCTGATTAAAATTCAGATGTGATTTTGAAGACAAAGGGAGATTTCAGTGCACCCCTTCCTGCCGCCCGCCACCTTTGCAGGTTTCTTTGCTTTTTTCTGATTCAAATTTCTGCTCCTTTAGTTCACAAGCCTTTAAAAAGAATGTGCTGCAGTACAGCTGTGACAACGGGAGGCAGTGCATGAAAGCACAGCTGACTGATGAAACTATGGTTAGACTGATAAATGAGATAGTGAGATTATTTTTTTGTGCAGGATGAAGGATCAGCAGGAAGATGTGCGCAGCATGAAGCGCCACTATCTCACAAGGTGTTTTGTTTTCTCTGAACAGATAATTTATTAATTTAAGCTTATCTGAGCTATTCTTACCGACAAACACTCATAGATGTGCATGCTGAATCGCACAGAGGAAGAAAACACATCGACAGTCTCGTGCTCGCCTTCATGGAGACTAAGGAAGGTGGAACCCTGTATTGATTAGCATCCAGTGACGTGCAGTTTTGATGTGTACCGTACGAATAGTGCTTGAGTCTTGTAGTAACTGCACTCTGCACGGCCCTGCTTCAGAGGACAGCAGGTGAAGAGGGACATTTTTGCAACGCAGACTCATTAACAGTGATTTCCATGTAAATCCAGTGAAAAATACAAAAACTCTTTGATCTTTTCTAACTTAAGAAAATGGCCTCATCCCTGCAGCATTACCAGCCGTCAGAAATTACAGCCTGCCATTGATCCAACAACCTCGCGTGTCAGAATAATATCAGACGGCAAGGGGAGACATGTCTACAATAAAGTGAGGAGAAAAACAGAGAGTGCTGGAATAAATGTGCATATCAAGACAGGATTTTACGCCTCAGAGAAAGCACTAGAGGGAAAATCAAACTGATTTCAATGTGACAAAATTGATTTTCCAATTTTCTCCGGATTGCTTTTTGCTTCCCTGGGGCAGGTGAGGTGTCTATCCAAATACACTTATAGCGCCACCTGAATTATGTCTGAGGAATTTGAAGAACATAGGGAATATTTTTGTTTCTCCTATCCATTTGGTGTTTTGCCTTTGTTGCAAAGCAGAATATTGCAGACATACAAAAGACATGCTGTATTTAAAAACTATATTGGCAGATGGAGCTAAACTGCATCGAGCTGGCGTCAGAGTCATGACGACGTGCTAAAGTGGCTGCGTCTAAATTTCGTCAGACCTCGATGTGGACAGTTTTAAGGTACCCTTTCTGCTCTTCCACCTGCCCTCTTTTCAATCATATATGTTGTTTTAGGCTTTTCATGTGACTATTAATACCACAAAGAGCTCTCACATACATATATTTGTCATGATTTGTTTATTATAGAAATAAACTTGTTTCACTTCTTTTTCTTTGAGCCCATTTAAACATTTTCGAGGACTCTGACGATCCTGCACGGCAGCATAAAACTGACTCATTGCTTCAAACATCAAAACACTTGAATGCTATGCTCTCTTTTACACGACTTCTTAGAATCCTTCCCTCCGAGTCCAAGTTCTTTAACATTTGTTGATCAAAATAAGTGCAAATCAAGTGCATTACATGATCTTTTCAAAAACCTATAACCTATCATGCACATGGAGAAATGCAGTATTAACGACCACCAAGGCGTTAAAGCTTAAAGCTGAAATAATTGTATTTCCAGCTGGACTTCAGCTTTACATATGGACGCGAGTTAGTTTGAGTTGCGTTACTGGTTATTTTACAGTACATGCTACGAAATTCAGGAGTTTAAAAATGAAGAGAAAAGGTGAAAAATTCTGCCTTCTTCAAAGGCATTCAGCTGCTTTTTTGAACATTAGCCTGTTAGTGGTGTAATAAATCTTGGCTGCAGACATTAGAGAAGCAGTGTTATTGTTGCTGTTTTTTCTACACTCTACTGGAGCATTATCTTTTGAAATATCCTGGAAGTCTCACTTTCATCCTCCTATTACACCAGGAAAAACCACCAGCTGTGTATCTCTTGGATGATTTCTTATTCACCTCACAAAAGCAGCAACACTGCACACTGCATCGATTACATCTCATTTCATCCTCCTTTTAATTAATTAGGCTTCTATTAAACGGTCTACTGTAGCTCAGGGATTGGCTCATCAGGGCAGTTAGTCACCACGGCTCCAACAGTTCCGGATGGGAGGTTTTTAGCTTTCGGGATGTTGGACACCACCAGAGTCGACGGATGAGTGTGTATCACCTCAATTAAACTATTCGCTAAGTGTCTGACAACAGCTAATATTCCTCTTCCACCAGCGGAGCCAATCGATGTTCTGGCATTCGTCACCCTGCTGGAAAAGCAATCATCCCGTTGTGTCGCTCTGGTTTTACGGGGAAATGGAAAGGCGCTCGTCTAGCTACTGCGCCTGCTAGCTGGAACGCGCCGGTGCTCCCTCACACAAAGGCACACACAAACACCGAAGCGGCTTACACGACACACAGACGCCGACTACGTGGTTTCTTGAGTCTGCCGGCAGCACAGGCGACACGTTGGGAATGAATGGATGCTTCGTTTCAGAAACTCCAGTGACACGTTTAAGCCTCGTGACAACTTCCTGACCACCAACACCACACCGCTGAGTATCGCTCAGTGCAGAGGCCCACACCACAAACACAGGAACAGATTTGCCGAGTTAACCCACCTCTCTGTCAAGTAACGTGGGAGCTATAACTGTGACGATGTCTCCTCTTTCTGCATCAATGTAGAACATGTTCGGTGAAGGTTTGTCTGGAGACTGTTTGACGATGTTGTAGCGCAGAACGGCGTTGTCTGTGTTCGGGTCGTCCGCGTCAAACGCCGTCATTGTCATCACTGTGGTTCCTGGGGACGAGATTAAAGGACCAGGCTGAGTCAGAACTGAACATTTGTCTTTACTCACTAAGAAATGAGCAAATAAGAACAACAAGAGAAACACATTTGATTAAAACACCCTGAAATCAGTCTCAGGTAAACATTTGGCAATATGTCAAACTACAGGAGTCACAGGAACTCTACTAAATTTTTATTTTTGTTTTTACAATTCTTCTTTTTCCAACTGTGAAATGTATTTGTCATGTAGGCAAGTTCTTATTTTGACTGGTTAAAGCCGCCAGAAAAGCATGCAGGATCCAGAAACCTGCAAGAAACACTGACGGAAGGTTAACAGACACTAAACTAAGGAATGAATGGACTTTAGCGTCACACGGGGAACAGACGGAGCTGGGAGGAAACACTATCAATGCAATTACATGGGAGGAAGTAAAAGTGAATACAAATCACAGAAGACAATTAAATAGCAAAGTAAAAAAAGAGCAGGAAAAAAAGGGAAAGTAAACTTAAAACAACAAAAGGAAAAAACGTGAAACTAATAAACTCGGACATAAAAAGCAAACACTGATCATATTAAGGAAATAAATACATGAAAATAAACAGAAAAGATTTAAATCAGCAGAATTTTAAAATCCAAACACTCAAAACTCAAAGACCGTGACAGTATTCTGGGATGTTGTTGTGCTAGTAAAACTGAATGTAACTCACCTAATCTACAATTAACATAACATCACCTACATGATATCTGTTATCAGCTGATATTTTATATCGTTAGGAATCCCAAAATGATATTAATCATGGGAGTAGATGGTTGAAAAGCAATATTTCAAGCTGCTCCTGCCGTGACAGCTGCTTAAAAAGTTACCCTTTGCTATTAATGTGTTTTCTTCCTCGTGTCAGCTCTAACAGCAGGGTGTACTTTATTTGGTAATGGGAAGAAAAATGGAAATCCTGCCCTCCACAGCTGAGCTAAAATAGGAGGCAATCCTCGACACACCCTCAGCCCTCAATCTCTGTCTCCTTTCGGTGATGAGATACACTCGCACCAATTCAGAGGGACACGCGCTCCATCCACACATGTGCGCGAGCAGCAGCAGAGATTTACGCATCCATGCATGCACACAAACTCAATCAAATATAGAGCGTACACGCTTGTGTGTCTGAACGGAGTTTTCCATTTCTCCAGTGCAGGCAGACGTGTCTATTAACTCCACTCAATCCAGTCCTCTGTGTCGTTGTTGTCCTTGGTATGATTTCAACACCACCTTGTTTCTTTTTATTTTTTGTGACGTGAAAGTATTCATTTAAATAATGGGATTGTAACATTTAGCAATATTACACAATAATAATTCTTAATGACTCAAACAGTCTGGAGGATGACGTGATTATGTTTTCGGAGGTAAATGAAAACAGAAATTTATGAAGCTTTCTTTTTTGATATTGACAAACTCAGGTTTTGTGTGTTTCTTGGCAATAAATCCCTTCTGATTCTTATTTGACCCACATATTTAATAAAACATTCCCATAAGTGCTAAATAACAGCATCGCGCTGCACGGCTCATGAGCATCGATCTCGTTTCATGCCTCTTCTTAATACCCGACAGTACTTTGCCACACTGCATTAGCCAAACTACTCAAATAAGACACAAAAGAGCTAATGGAAAATATGCAAAGTCTACACTAAGTAAAAGTGGCTCAGGAGCAAATGTCTTTAGTCCAGTTGAAGGTAATGAAGGGCAAAGAGGTGTGACTTTTATCCATCTGGCATTTGCACTTCAAGGTGAACCTGCTAATGGTTAAGTAAACCGCTAATCCTCCCTCTGCAGTATAATTACACCGTCCCATCTCCCTCATTACCTGCACTCTGTTCCACTTCACCGTTTAGAATGAGCGCACACAAACACACGTGATGGCCAACGTGAGCATGCACGGTTTTGCACACAGCCACACCAACCGGAAGCGAATTAAAGCGTTGTAAACGTCGACTAAATTGGTTATCTTGAGCAGATATCGGTGAATTATGTTCTCATTCTCCTGAAGGTCTCTTGAACGCAGCACAGTCGTACTCCGTGTTTTATGTGATGTCAGAGGCAAGCTGACCTTCTCAGTGATTACTGTCTTCATCAGATACCATAATTCCTCTCACAAATGAGCATCATGTAACCAGTACGCATTCATCAGTGCAGGATGCAACACAGCCATTAGCATCAATCAGCTGGTGATAAACATCTAGTATTCTGTAATAGGACAATGGGACTATGCTTACCTCTAACACTGATGCCTGTTAAATCATACGATACCATGTGGGCAGCGTCTGTGAAGAGTCACTGGCCTCTCTTATCAGCTTTATCCTCTAGCAGGAGCCGAGCTCAATCAATCCTAACTGCATTGGATAGCTACATGGATGTGACTGCACAGGACTGCCATTACCGCTATCACTTGAACCCATCTGCTTTGCTGCGGATGACAGCAGCTCAGACTGCATGTAGAAAGAAATCATAGAATTAAGATGGAGACTGCAGAGTGAGCGTAAACACTGTGTAATGCATTTCTATCAAGTTTCAGAATGATGATTGGCCCAGTCCACAAAAACAGAGAAGAAGAAGCAGCGGGGCTTTGAGGTAAAAGATTAACAATACACACACGAAACGAAGCGAAACCAGATACACGTGTTGTGGATTGATTTCATCACACGGGCTCGTGAGACAATGTGCCGTTGCGTACAGCTAGCTGCTATATCTTTCTCAAACACCAAGGGAAATCAGCGGGGGCCGCCAGATCTGTGCTCGCCACCAGGGAACTGACAGAGTCAAGAGTCAAGATGAAGCAAGAGAACATAGACGAGACGAGACAGGAGAATAAATGTGATTTTAGTACGAGTGTGAGCTGTGTATTACACTGCAATCGCATGAACACAAGCGATAGGAATTATTATTTTTTAGTTATTTAATATGTCCGGTGGAGATTCGAGAACCAGAAAATGGATTTAGATTAATCACAGTCAAGTGACTGAAAAAGACCAAGAGCTGACCCTTTCTATTCTCAGGCCTGAATGAGATCAAAGAGTTCAAAGATAAATTGTGTTATCCAAAATCAATTTAATGGCGCAAAGAATTAGAGCCACATATTCAGACGGAGAACGCGGTGAAGAGATGGCAGCACAGATAAGAGTGCACGAGCGTACAAAGCACGACTTCGATTTTAAAGCTGGATGTGAAAACTTTATCCACTCTGTGATGGATGCTTGTTAGAAATACTCCAAAGGCACCGTCACATTATTGAAATCAGTTATATTCTTAGATAACTTCTTAATTCGAAAAAATAAAAAGATTTTTAGTAAATTTAGCAAATTAAAAGTGTTTACTGTGGTTCATTTGTCGTCTTTAAATGCCACCATGACAGTAACGATGCTGAAGGCATAATATTAACGTCATTCGCAGTGGTCACAGTTGTTTTGTGGGTCACATGATGAATCTGACCGACTGCGCGATTATTAACAAGCTGAAACGAACAGAAAGCTCTTTAATCTTGTGCATCTTCTTCTTTCCTGCTTCATTTTAAAGCCCACACCTTCCTCTTGTCATCCTCTCCCTGCCCTCACGTCTGCAGGTCCCAGCGCTCTTCATGCCAGCCCCGCCTACTCACTTGTCAAACAAATATATACACACACACTTTTGCCGTACTCCTCATTATTTACTTGTCTCTGTTCCCCTTGTGTGTTCATAACATTCTAGCTTTTTATTGTCTTGTTATTTTGTTTTACTGTGTTTTTCTGCACTGGACTGAGCTTCTGCATTTGACCTTTTGAACTGTCAGTGTGGACCCTCCTCTTTTTTTTAACATTACTGTAACTCACATTTGTATCCACAGTCCTGTGAACAGCACTGTAGATACACTTGTGAGTATTTGCCTCCATCCTGATCTCTTAGTTGTTTTGCATATTTGTCATACTTGCTTTATTTTGTGGCATTCAGAGGTGTCCTGCTGCATGATGCAGCAGACAGCGTGATGGCTGGATACTGTCCTTCAGGTCTCCTGCAGACCTGGACCGTCACACTACCATCACCCTGTTGGATTCTAATCAGAGCATTATCATTCCCAACGCATAACATATGACGATTTGTCACATTCGTCATGTTACGCGTTGGCTCGAGAACGTGTTGCTTCTAAAATGATGGGTGTTTTGGTTTTTTTAATGAAATTCTCTCTTAGTTTTGAGTCAGATGTAACGGGACTGAAGCCTTCCAAAAAGTTAAACTTCATCGGTGCACAGAATTAAATAATTTCCCCCAGGGATCAATAAAGTATTCTGATTCTGATTCTGAATTCACAATTCCCACTCAGCAGTGGTTTTCACCTTGGAACTCTCCCACAGATGTCATTTTTCCACTAGTGTCTCTGGTGTTGTTGATCATGAACACTGACCTTGGCTGAGCTATGTGAGGCCTTTGGTGCTTGTTGTGGATGAGTCGTTGCTGCGCTCTTGGAGTGTTTGTGGTCGGCCACACACTCCTGGGAACAGTCCTCGCTGTCTTCTCTATTTCTGGACAACAGCTCTCACTGCTGTTTGCTAAAGCCTGCTTTAGTTTCACAGTTTAGTTTAACTAAGTCAAAATGTCTGTGAGAGCAAAACGTCACTTTGGATGTACATTTGGTTCCAGGAGAAAAAGGCTTACAGTGTTCTGTTCTTATTTCTATATGAAGTCAATAGTTTTGAAAGAGGTTCAGGCACACTGGTGAAACTGGTGGCAGCAGATCTGTCTGCTTGAACTCTTCAGGGATCTTCTTCACTATATCTACATATCGACCCTATTTGCTCTTCATGGTGTCATTTTTAAACCTGCCATTTGAATGAGATGAATGCAAATATCTTATTTTTGTCAGTTCACAACACGCTTACAAAGCATGTGGTGCAATAATCTTATATTCAATACAATAACCATATTAGTGAGTGAAGACTTTGCTGTTGATGAAGATCGTATAATAAGTAATAAGGTGTAAAACTGATTATT